TTCGTGCAATCATATAGTCTGCAAATAACTATTATCTTATTAATCTTAATTTTTTTCTAATCACTTCCGGTGCCGCAATTTTTACTCCAAAAGCTCGTGCGTAGGCTCCCATTAAATGCCGATTATCTCGAAAACGAGTTCGGGACACCCTATTTTTCTTTACAGATTTGGAATCAGCATTAAATTTCAATTCGGAAAATCGAAGTTTTAAGAAAAGCTTAAATCAATTTCCAAAAGGTAGGCAGTCACCTTAACTCGCATTTGGGTTTTTTTTAACACTGATGCCCGTTTTTTTTAATGAAGGAAAAAAAATTAAATTGAAATAAAGTAAATATTTATAAGGGAAAACAGCACGAGCGCGCACTTTCTGTTTTCGCATTCGTATCCAAAATAACGGTTATCCTAATTTGTATTTTATAAAAACAAAAAATCAAAAGACTTGCTGTGCTGTGTGTAGTTATGCGGGGGTTGGCAGAATACGAGATAAGTGTTAGGAGGAGCACGACGCGTAGCGGAGAGCGTCTTAACACTTCTCAAGTGTTCTGCTAATCCACAAGTGCTTTATAACTGCACACAGCACAGCATGTTTTTTTGATTTTTTTCATAAAGTCAAAGTTTCCCGCTCTATTCGGTTCTTTCAGTAGACGCGTGTACCATTTTTCGAAAGTCAAAGTTTCCCGCTCTTTTCAGTTTTTTCAGTAGACGCGTGTACCATTTTTCGAAATTCAAAGTTTCCCGCTCTTTTCGGTCATTTCAGTAGACGCGTGTACCATTTTTCGAAAGTCAAAGTTTCCCGCTCTTTTCGGTCATTTCAGCAGACGCGTGTACCATATTTCGAAAGTCAAAGTTTCCCGCTCTTTTCTTTCCATTAGCGAGTGAATATCCAACCGGATGGATTGGTTTGAATGGTAAGCATCCCAGGTTTAAAAACTGGTTTGGTGAAGGTTAAGTTGAATGTTGCATTCCAAGCCCGAAATGCACTGTACGCGATGTGAATGCAAATAAGCAAAGGACACAACAATAGAGCTTTTAAGTTGTGACGTACTTCCCGTGTACAAAAACCGCCAAAACAAAGCAAAACCTTTTTTTAAACGACTTTAATATTATTCATTCACTAAATGCTTACAATTATTTTAATATATATATATTTAATTATTTTACAAAAGTAACAATATTTACAAGCGCAGTAATCTTTGTAAGGATAAAGTAAACTTACAAAGAAATTCTACCAAATGCTTCGGAAT